AAAGCAGTGGCCAAAGCGGGTAAGAAAACAGGACATGAAGGACATGAAATGTGGGAGGAGATTGGGGGTGATTCAGAGGGAGGAGAATAGAAATCCGAATCATTGATGCCAAACGGAAATGTGCGCACTTTCAAGAAGTGCACTAAAAATGGCGACGAGCACTTCCGTTGATGGTTCGTCGGGCCCTGAATGGGCACTGTTCTGGTCTCTGGCACACTGGCTAGCTGACTAGCTGACTGGCAAAGCAAAAAGTCCGCCAGAACTTCTTGGCGTCAATAAAACGTGTCTGTAAACAAGACAACTAATGTCGATGGGGGGGAAGGTGCTATAGCAAGGTGAAGCCTTACCTTATTCACACAGGGAAAACTTAGTTTTTAACTATCAGAGGGGGTGGCTCAGAAATCCTTACATATTTTATATCTAAAGTTCAGGTGTCTAAAACAATGGGAAGTAAAGTTGAGCTTTCATTTTAGATCTGTTTCTAAGTAAAATACATACCTAAAGGAAAATCTTTTAAAATATTAAAATCAAAAAGTTTTCTAGTTTACAAAAATAGTGTTTAAAATACAATGAGTCACGAAATTGTAATACTATCAAAATAAAACATATGTGGTTTAATAAATATTGAAATGAAACAAAAAAGTAGAGTAGCCCATTTACTTTTTTGTTTATTATTATTTAAAAATTAATTAATACTTATACTTTAATACTGTTTGTACTTATTTGCACTTATTAAAACAAAACTTTCAGTTTTTGTACCGGTTTGGCACGGAGATATAAATAGGCATATAAATTAATATTAATTTGAGAACTAAAACTGAGGGAAATATTTTTAGGAAATAGCTACCGAAATATTGCTAATTAAACCACTGTGGCATGTGGAATGGAAAATGAGACAGCGACTGACTGGCCTTAGCTGCCACCGAGCAGCACTTAAAAATAGAGAAAAAATCGAGGAAATGGCGGAATGGGGAAAACAAATGTTCGCATGAAAGTTGAATGATAGCTGGAAGCCAGACCAGACGGAAAATCAGGAACGCAGCACGAACACTAAAGAGGAATCGCAATTGCAGGCCACGTCCGAGTTGAAGCCTGAGCAGAAGTGGACAGAAGGGGAAAAGTGGTCGGTGGCCAATGTTGTTGGGTATGTAAACAAGCGGCGTTTCTCACAAGTAATTCGAAATTGCATTTAAAGTGCCTTAAATGCTCGACAACAGACCGGGGCTTAATTAACGCCGCTTGTGCGCACAACATGGCGTATGATTAATATGGCTAGAAGCCAGTAATGAACTACCGCTTTGGCATCATCATCAAGGGAATGGACATCCTTCCTGGACTTTTGGGCGGTGGCTAATTGCATAATAGCGGAACAGCGGAATAGCGGAAGAGCTGAACAGCAGCTCCGGAACATTACGACCGGGTTCACTTGAGCAGAAACGAAGCGTTTGGCCTGGAAACAGGCAATAAAATTTGGTCAAAACGGCAAGGCATATAGATAAGCGTCAAACAGTTCACACATTTTCATACCACCCTTCGCTACGTCGCTGGAAATGCGCTCAAGCGTGAATATTAAACGTTTGCTTAGAAATGTGAAGGCAACTGCCTGATATTGCCCGTTTCATCCCTCAACTTTTGCAAAGGCGACAGTGGGCCCACCACTGTTTGGACCAACTTTTCGCCTAGGCAAAAGTTCTGGCCAAAGGCAAAAGTTTGCCAGCAAAATAGGAATGGAAGTGGAAATGGCAATGGATAGCAGATATGTAAATACTCGTGCATGCAAACGGGAAGTTGCAGATAGCTTCGCTTTGGTTAAGCAACGAGCTGGAAGATCGCTGGCCAGCAATTAGACCAGTTCACTGCGAATTCAATTTGGGATTATGCCTGTTAAATATTCTAAAGAATTTCAACTTTCTTTAATGAATATTTTTCCCTTAATTTACACATTTATAAGACAACTCAAATAAAAAACTTGTTTAACTTGGAAAACTTTTTAAATTCAAAACCTGTTGTTTTGGAAGTAAAAACAAAAAACAATTTTGTTTGAAAACATTTATAGAGTAAAATTAAAGTCAACAATAAACTTATCAAATAAAATTGTTGACTTCCAATTAACAGTAAATGCGCAATAAATTATCTAAAATATAATTTGGAACAAATGGATTGCAATTCATTAAATGTAAACATTTGCTTGCTTCTTTGATTTTAATAGGAAAATGCCCTTAATTAAAATCGAGCAAGTTCTGAAAACTTTTTCCAAAAATACAACGCTTAGGACAACTTTGCAGGGTGGCTGATACCCATACATATATAAATATGTATGTATATACAAGCATACACAATCCCACTCGCATATCCCTGCACACATTTGACTGCCCAAAATTGCTTTGCTTTAATATGAAACGGTGAGCTCGCCAGTTTGGTGCCCTGGCAATCCGGTTTTGATCTTCGCAGCGTAATAAATTTCCCCTTCGAAATCCCTCTCGGTCCTGTGCTAATCACAGAACGTGTCCTTGAAAAGGACCTCCCTGCATTTCACAAGAAAAACATTATTAAATCCACCGATGCCAGAGGCAGACTCTTTAAATCGCAAATTGAGCTGCATACTCGTTTTGTGCATTAATATGCAAAGCACGCGGCACGTCATTAGTGGAGGCTCCTGACGAAAGGGGCTGGTGGACTTCCTCCTTATCCAGGGCTTCGGTGTGGTTGTGGGTGTGGGCGTGAACCTGGGTGTTGGTGAGTCCACATAATGAATTATGCCACGCCTAACGAGCACACAGCAGCCAGCTAGCGCAAGCCGGCACAGAAATCCAATAAAAATTCAATAAATTCCCCACAATACCAGCCACAACTGCGGTTAAAATACTAGCTATTATGAAATGTACAAAGTTTAGCTGGAGCTTCTGAACATCTGAACACCAGATGGAATCAAACGTTTATTTATTATTTCTCACGAGCTTAAAACCCATATCTAGGAGTTAAAATATCTGTTTTAATATATGAACTGGACAAAATGTAAAACTCACAATTATAAATATTTTGATAGGTTGTGGAATCAAAAAATCTTAATGTTTATCTTTTTAACATTATGATTTTTGACTTCAACTTTAAATAGCTGTTAGGTCAAATTTTTTATTAAATGTAGAAGTAGTAACAAATATAAAATTAGCAACTTCTATTAGAAACAACTGATAAATTAATAGAAATTCCATTCCCAAATATCTATAATTTTTACCTAACCTGTATGTTCTGAGCAAGCATACGAAAGGAAGGAAAAGTAAAAGAGATGGGCGTATGTTTAAGAGGTGTATGGTTGAGTTAAGGAATTGCACGTGGAGCCGAGTGAGAACTAGTCCAGGCCTATTCCCTCAGAAGCGACGACAAACAAAGCCAGCATAAGTCCGAGTGGAAAGAAAATACAAAAAAATACTCATAATTTACTTTTCAATTTTCTTTGCAATAAGGGAGGCGACGATGAAGGATTGGGAGTGGCAATGTCTGCGTGAGCGGCGCCTATAAATAGACAGTGGGACTGGCAAATGCCAAAAGCGACAACCGGAAGTCGCAGGATTCCATAATATATGGCCCGGAATTATGGGGGTGTGGGCAAAATAAAAACGGGCTGCGTAAGAAACCAACTACTGAAGTGGGCAACAAATTGAAAACAAACAAAATAAAATAAATGACCAACCTTTTGGGTTGTCGTTGAAATATTACTCACATTAAAATATGTTGTATCAACCGTATGTATATAGGTATAGCAATCTAGTGAGTTATGATCATAAAAAACTCTGACTTCACTCATATTTATTTTTGTTTAGGAAAAAATTATTTTACAAACCAAATATAAATATTAAATATTTCTCAATTAGTTAAGTACTTTATAAGCGTGATAATGAGATTAGAACTTTATTAAAAAGCATACATGCATATTAAACACAGAATTCCTATCTTTGAATATTTTATGGCCCAATGCATATGTTTATAGTGAGATAAACAACAGCCAGTGAATGTACTATCATAGACCCAAACTATTAAGATTATGTCTTCATCCACAAGCCATAAAGACCTTCAATCTTTTCCTTTTCGCTTTGACCGCTCAATATTAAATTTCATAAAAATTGTGCGTGCCTATTTTCGTACCCGACGCTCTACCCACTTCCCTCCATCTGCTGCTCGTAATTAATTTACGACAAAAATAGGGTTAATATCGCCCAGAACTCTGGGTTATAGGGAAGCGATGGCCCGAGATGGCCCGACCTCCCGGCTCCATATCGGAGATTCCCCGCTCCTGTCAACACAGTCATCAACTGTCTGTCGCTCAAATTGCTGTCACTGCTGCGGACATGGACGCGGATGTGGACGCGGATGGGGACGCGGTTGAGGATGTGCACGAGGATGTGGATGCGGATGCGATGGCGGAGCGGTGGATGCGGTCGCGAACCTTTTTCCTTCCTTTTTCTAGATGCCTTCAGGCAAATGATGCCTATTTGATCGGGGCCAAAGGATAAACAAAACGAGTAAGCAACGCACAGCAGAAAAAAAAAGAGACGATGTAACTTCCAAATTTTAAATACCCCGTAGTTATGTCTATTTAAATTCTATAATATTATTATTATTAATTATATTTACTAAAAAAACATTAAGCTTAGCTCTTAAAAATGCAAAGGCCTTTAGAATTTTACGGGTCTGAAATTATTAAGGCAAATTAAGGTGTCTGAAAAGTAATTTTTAAAAAAGAATAGAGTATTAGTACTTTTACACATCTAAGCTAAAGTTATTTCGTTATAAAACCTAACGTTCATTGAGATTTCTTAAGTAGAGATCTGATTCTTTCGCTTCGATATGCCCAAAAAGCCAACAAGTAGTGGGTTCATAAAGAGAGGCTCGAAATGAAATGAGAAATCGTTAAAAGAAAAGAAAGCAGAGGCGAAGGCGAAGGAAATGGTATAGCTCCTGCCAGGAGTCCAAAGTCAGTAAGACAGCGACGACATACTAACCTAAAGTTATAGGGCCTGGGTCAGCAGTTGCCAGTTACGCCTTTTCCATGGTTAACCAATTCACTCTTGTCGCTCGCGTTCTCGCTGGCCGGGTGTATTTATTTTATGCCGTTTTCTATGTAAATTTTTATGAGCGCGCGCATCAAATAAAATTAATTCCAAAAATTGTTGTTGACTTTGTATCGCTTGTATTTTGGTTGGTTGCAGTCGGATTTGGCGCGGGTTTATCGCGGGATTTATATTTATGCAGACCGTTTTCCTTGGTAGTAGTTGTTCGCTGGTAAATTAAATTATGCGCCACACTCTTTTGATATCTTCGTTTGTTGATTTTCGGTATTGATTTTGTTTAAATTGAAATTTGCTTATATTTTGCAGATAGCGAGTAGTTAGCCAGCCGACGTCAGTTGAATCAGGAAAACTTTATTAAGATTTTAAAATAATAAATATTAAATCTCCTTTTACACATCTATTAATCAACATAGTGCACTTTGTCTCATCTTTTCACTATACATTTTGCAAGCACACAATGCTTTTCTTTGAAAAAAAAAATCATAAATATCCTGATTTGCGCTAGAAAAAACCCTCTCTTGCTGACAGAAATAAATTATTCTTTATGTTGCACGTTCAAGAGGTTAAATCATGTAATCAATATCTGGATATTTTTTTACTGCCGGTCTGCTGCTAAAAGTATGCAATCAAAAGTTTAAGGATTGCAATTTCTCTGGGAGTTTTGCGAAAACTTTTAAGGACAACATTTGAAGTGGACGAAAGAAAAATGAAATAGTTAGTCGAGATTGCCTTTCACAGAAAGCAAAATAATCAAATATTTTTCTTGTCTAAGAAGTTAAAATAATGGTGAAATATGCCGAAATCTCTAGACGTTATAATGAAAATTCCAAAGCTCTTAAAGTTCGTAGGAATGCAGAGATACTTATAGTGCTGAAATACTATCATGTGATGAAATTCCTAAGTGGGTTTTTTTTTTTATTTTAAACATAAGAAACATAGAATTGGTTTTTTCTTTGTTTTAACTGGAAAAAATTTCCTGCTTTTAGCTTTCACAATTTGTTTGGGAATTGTTTAAATATATTAAAATATTTCTTTGAAATTTAATACTTTAAAAAACACTCAAATTTGTATAGTCCTTTCAAACTTGTTTTCATGAAACTTTTTCCTGCTCATTTTTTATTTTTAGCCAATTATGGAATTTGGCCAATTTAGCTGCAGTCCAACAAAGTTGATTAAGGCCAAGGAGTGGAGGCCGAAAGAAGAGCCATAAAAAGTCCAAGGCGGTGAAACTTTTTCCGAGTTAAATAGAATCCTTCGCTTCTCTCGCATGCACCAACTCCTGCTGTATTTTTTTTTTTTTTTATTCCTTCCTTCTGTGCTACACGCGCTGCTTTCAAAATAACTCTAGGATACACAAAAAGACATCCTGTGGCCTCGAATGTGTCTCTGTGTGTTTGTGTGTGTTTGAGTGTCTCTGTATGTGTATGTGTGTGAAAGGTGAAACTTGGAACTCCTTGTTGTTGCTGCTCCTGCCGCTATTCAGAAGTACGAATTTGGCTCGAAAGGCGAACGGCAAATTAACGAGAAATCGAAAACGAAACGAACCGAATACGAAAACGAAACGGGAATGCACGAGAAATGCGTATAAAAATATATATTTTGCTCATAAATTAAACGATTTGCACACTGAAAGCGGGTAGACCAACACGCGCGCAAAACTAACGGAGCGGCGTCTCACACACATATGTATATCCTGGCTGGATTTCGTCCTGTATATGACAATGTGTGTGTGTGTGTGTTTGTGTGTGTCTATGTGTATTAATGCCGCCGCAGAGCTAAGCGCGCAAAAACCGACAGATACACGAGCATTTAACACCCAAAAAATGCGTGGCGCATGTTGGAAAAGCTGCTCCCTTCGAGCATGATACGCAAAGAAACGGCCCGCAACGCCTGTATTTTTCCCGTTTTTCCTTGACTTATTTCACCACCACGCGTTTTTCAGCATTTTTTCACATACTCTTCGGTTTAAGCAATTATTTCAATTTTTTGTCGGTTAGGAGGCACTGGTTCAACTTGGCTTTTTCCCGTGGCAGCGCCCACAATCGAAGCGTGTGCGTTCGCGTTTGTGTCCTGTACTCAATTGTAAATTCTCCGAGTTCCGCCAGCACCTTCACATCATAATCCTTGCCATTGTGTTGTCGCTGCGAGTGCGCGCGTTAAGTTGTTGATTCCGAAAAAGCTCTCTCTTCGTGTTCTTTCGCTCTCCAAATGTTATTGTTTTGAGTCCTCGCTTAGAGGATACCGGTGTTTATCCAGGACTCAAACCTTTACCAAGTACTTTTATAATTTCTATCTGTGAGATCCCTAATTTAATGATTACATATATTATTTTACTAAAAGTATAAAAGTATAAATATTTTACTAAAGGATATTTAGCGTGAGTTGACAATTGTAACCCAATTATCTATGAAAATTTCTAACATTTTTAACTATTTTACCCTCATTTATCCTTTTAGAAGCCATTAGTAAGTTTTTAGAATTTACTTAGAGCTTTAAATTACAAATGTACATGCGTAATTATGGTATACAAGGATCAGTTAAATAGACGCCGTCACAACTGCAGCACAACAACTTTGTCCTGGATTGGTTGGCAGAAGAGCAATATAAAAATAGTCATATATCTCACAATTCCCTAGAAATGCTCACTACAGCTCGCTTAGAATGTGGCATGGTTTCGTATAAAGTACACATCGTACTCCTTCTCGATCCACTTGATCAGCTTGTCCACGTACTTGATCACGGTGGCCTTGTCCACGACCGGTTCGAAAACGGCGTACAGTTCGTAGGTTCCGGTGGCCCAGGCCAACACCACTTCGCGCTCCTTCACCTCGTAGATGAGCTTCAGTGGCCGTGATCCGTTGTGGATGCGGTGCAACAGGTCGCAGTAGATGGCCTCCAGGCGCTCCAGCTCCACGAGGGACTTGTACGGATGCCTAAGCGTGGGGCACAGCAGTTGCGCCGTACTCTTCGGCTTGTACAGAAAGTGTCGCAGTTCGGGAATTCCCACAACCTGTTGGTAGAGTTTCGAATTAAACGGCTGCTTCAGCTCCTCGTTGATGGCCTCCAAGCAATGGTTTTTCCGCAGCTTTTCCGTTATCTTCGCCTTGGCCTCTGCCAGCGTGAAGAAGGCGTCCCTGTCCACGGATAGCAGCAGCAAACAGGCTTGGCAATCATTTGCCAGATACGAAACATGCGCGTGCAGATATCCATTCATATCGAACTTGGGCAGGCAGATGGGTGACCAGTTCTCGGAGCTCTTAAACGACTCGGAGCACTCGATCAGGTTGAAGATCATTCGCAGATCAGCCGGATGTATGGAGTACTTCTTCATGCGCACCAGTGCTATGAGTTTGTTATTGGCTATCAGCACTGCAAACACCAGGTTCTTGATCTTCGAGCAGTTGCTCTGAATGGCGCTGGTGATTTGCGATCGTATCGCTGTGGGCAATGGGAAGACGAGTATGGAGTTGGTCAGAAAAGTGAAGATGTTATTCGACACTAAAAGGAAAATATATGGTAATTAATAGCATATCTTCTTTTCTTCTAAGGACTTTACCCTTGGCACTACTGCTATCATTGGCCAGCAGGTTGTAAAACAATCGTTCGCTGCCCGAGAGCAGTCTCCTCAAATCGAAGTTTTTGCGCTTCTCGAAGATCTTCGTCATGTGTGAGTACGTCAAGATGGACAGTATTTGATTGTAGACATCCCTTGGAAAGGAAATAAAACCACAATTAGTTGGCATTATTATCAGAGGTTGGAAATATGACTCACCCCAGTTGCAGTTGTAGCTGCTGGACACTCATTTTGCTCCTGGTGGCGGCCACCAGGATGAGTGAGCTGCGCTGCATGAAGGCGAACTTGATGCCTGCCGCATGAATGGACGTGATGGCATCCTGGCCCAGTTGGACGAAGCTTACAAGTGCCTGGATGACACCAAATAGCGTGGCCAGCTTGTCCTCATTGCCGTGGAGCGAGAATATGGGTTTGCCCGCCTCGCTGAGGATGAAGATGTGCTTCTTTTGGCCCCGCCACAAACTGTCATGCTGATAGTCGTACTCCTCCTCCAATCCGCTAATGGAGTCCTCGGTTTTGGCGCTCGTGGAGGTGCTCAGTGCCAGGGACTCCGCGGACGCAGCCAGTCCCTTTGTATGTTGTCCTGGCTCTGGACTGAGGGCACTGGTGTCCCGTGTGGCATCCAGACCATCCCTCAGCTCGGAGATAATACTATGATTCTGCTGCTCGGCCTCCTGTTCGAAATCCGCCTCCTGATAGAGACTCGTCTCCGGTTCGTTCGCATCCGGATCACCCTCTGCGTCCAAGTACTCGCTGGTGGAGTTCGTGTCCGATCTTATCGACGTCTGTTCTACTTCCATTTCGAATCTTCGTTATTTTAGTCGCTGGAACATTGCAATTTATATTGGCAAATTGCAAAAACACAAGTTTATAACTCAATCAGCGAAAGGTTCCAGCTAGCTAGTGTTTTTCAACACTGGCGGTGGAAACAGATGATGAAACTAACAGGGGTGTTCCGAAAAACTCTAGTTTAATTGTTTGTTTTCATATATCACGAGTTAAACTTAGTTTAATTAATATATATGTTGCACATTAACCCACCGTGCTCTTTTTGATACCTTTATATATTCTTAAAACTAAATTTAAAGTTTCTCAATAATATTATTAAATATTAATTTCCTGCCATCACAAATTTCTGCCAAAATGAAACCGCCTGAAATGTCTATAGACAGCGCTACCCAACACTGGGCAGCAGCTGTTCCAACAAACCAAAGAGAAGAAGAAGAACAGAGGTTATGAAAACACGAGCCGCTCCAAAATGTTGAGAAAATCGCTTAATAACCGTAAGTAATCAATAAAAACCAAGATGAAAATAAATTGTAAATGTTTCCCTTCGCCAGTGCCGCGTTTTGGCCAGATGTGCGGCCTGCCGCGACGCCTGCAGAGTACACAACCGGAGCAATCCGTCGAAACGGAGCCGGAAGACTTCGCCTTGGTCGAACAGCGGATACTGAAACATCCGGACTACTTCCAGGTGCACAACCTGTTCACCGTGCGCGACCTCTTTAACGCCCGCGTGCACTATGGCCACAAGGAGGGCTCTCTGGACGACCGGATGCGTCCGTATTTGTTCGGCAGTCGCCTGGGCCACCTAATCTTCGATCTGGACAAGACGGCGTCACACCTGCGCGATGCCCTCAACTTTGCCGCCCACATCGCTTTCCGGGACGGTATTATCCTGTTCTTCAATCGCAACGCAATGAACTCACACCTTGTGGAGCAAAAGGCCCAAGAAGCCGGGGAGTTCTCGCACACACGCTTCTGGCGCGGCGGCATCTTCACCAACGCCAATGTACAATTCGATGCCGTCACCCGGCTACCCGATCTCTGCATCTTCCTGAACACCCAGAACAACGTGATGGCCCAGCACACAGCCGTGCGAGATGCCGCCAAGATGGCCATTCCCACGATTGGAGTTGTGGATAGCAATTGCAATCCCAATTTGATCACCTACCCGGTGCCCGGCAACGATGATTCCCCGGCAGCTGTGGAACTCTACTGCAATCTGTTCAAGGAGGCCATTCTGCGTGGCAAGCGGGAACGTCGCCAGATCTTGGGCCTTCCGCCCCTGGACGAATCCCAGCCACGTCGCACTCGCACGCCCAAGAAATAGTCTTAAGTGTCAAGTTGATTTTCTGTATCAAGTTGATTTTGTTACATTTATCTGAATACAAATACCGATGCCTTCGATTCAGGATGAAGAAGAAACTGCTGACCTTGGAGCGTAAATGTGTAGACTTTTTGCAGGTGCCATGCTAGTGGATAGTGGTTAAAACCCACGCCTTGGGTTAGTTTTCGTGATCAGTTTTAGGGCGGCAGCATGGTTCCACCCTTGACAAAGTTGTTGCTGTAGTGGCTGAAGAAGGAGGGATTGGAGTTGGAGCCCGTTGCACTGATGGCTGACCCACCGGGCCAGTAGTTATTCGTCTGCGGTGGCGTGTCTGGAGGCGGCGGCGGTGGCGCCAAATGCCCAATGACTGAGAGATCCGCTCCGCCCTTAATGGCACGCCCGGTGCCGAAGAACTTCTGCATCTGCTGCTTCTTGAAGTCGTGCGCCGATTGATAGCCATTCGGTGGCTTGTCCTTGGGCAACTCCCAGGAACCGATATTGGGGGACTTGCGCAAAAACAGCTGACTTTTGTCGTTCTTATTATCCTGCTGCACCCAGCGCTCAGCGTGCTTCACCGTCAGCATCGCCTTGTGGGCGCCTATTGACTCCTCGGCCTTCTCCAGACGTTCCAGCTGATGTTCGTCCAGCTGTTCACGCGGCAGCTTGCCCAAACGCTGCACCGTTCGCTTCCAGTTGTGAAATTCGCGATTCTTGAACGGCTTCATGGCCATGCGGTACTCCTTCCACTGGCGCTGGCGCTCCTCCTTCGTACCAGGCGGCGCATCTTCCAGGGGCAGCGGTGCCTCCGGCTTCTGGATCCACTGACCGTTGACCTGCACAAAGGTGCCGCTGCGCTTGGGCTTCTTGGAGGGCTGGGCCTCTCCGTTCGATTGCGAATTGTTGCCATCACTTGACGTCGGCGGCGGAGGGGGAGGCATTAGCTTGGAATCTTTGACTTTGTTGCCGCTATTATTGGACTTGAACTTCTTGTTACTCTGTTGATTGTGTTGCTGCTGACCGCGCTCCTTGGGCACCAGGTTCCACAGGCTGGGGCACTTGGGCATGGGCGGTTGGATGGGTGGTGGTCGGTGTTGCGGCGACATCATGTCCTCCCAGAACGGAGGCGGTTGCAGTGGTCGCTGGTTCTGATTGCGTCTGGGCCCGGGGCCACACGGTGGTCCACCGAAGCCCATTGGTCCCCCAGGACCCATGGGGTGACCTCCCATTGGCGGACCACAGGGACCCGGCCCAAAGTTGCCCCCAAATCCCATGTTCATCAGCTGCATGGGAAGCGGCGGGGGTCTGCTCAGGGGTGGATAGTTATTCCTGTCCTGGTAGTCGTTTCTCGGTCCTCCGCCTCCTTGGAAATTTCTGTTGTCATTCGACGACCATTGTTTACGTCCATTATTGTTATTATTATTATTGTTGTTATAAGCACTATTGTTGTTGCTACGTTGTGGTCCGCCTTTCGATTCCGGTTTCAGCGCCTCCTTGCACTTTTTCCAATCTGCAAACGACATTGGCAGCGGCTTCTTTGGCGTTTCATCCTTGCCGGATCCTTCAGTTGTTCCCGCAGAATTCACAGGTGCCGCCTCCACGTCCTCGTTTTCGGACATTTTCGAGCAACGGCCTTAAAAATTAATATTTTAAAATTTTCCTTGAATTCGTTTTACACAATTGGAGATGGCAGAAAATATTTCATTATCTTGTGTTTGACGGGAATGGCAAAGTTTGCTATCGATATTTTTTGCGTCTTTTACCAAAGTTTCCCCTGAAATATAACAAGTTCATATTAACAAAATATTTTATTTTAAACTAACTTTTATTTCAATCCCACTGATAATCTAGATTTGTTTGTTGAAGAATTGAATATAAATAGAATGTTTTTATTAAATTAAGTAGAGAAAATTACCTTATAAACTGCTTGAACTGCTTGCCTCTACCGATAGCTGAGGCTCATCCTTAGAAATTAACGCGTTCGATAATGTGGCAACGCTCCTCGTTGAATGGCTTTTTGTGGCACGGTGGCAGCATCAAAACGATTTTAGTCGCAGTCGCAGAGATTTTGGTTTTTGGTAAGCTTTTGCATTTTAATTGAAATTATGCTGAAAAATACACCAACTTAATGAGTTTTTCAAGCGGATCTTGCAAGTGGCCATAACGCCGGAGAAGACTCGACGGGTAAAATCTAACAAAATCGGAAGTGCAAAGTCGGTCGCCAGTGAAACGCGTAGTTTGCCCCTTTTACATAGTGCCACCAAAATTTTTCTCAATTTCAGAGAGTTTTCTTTGTCGAAAACTTACTTAATTGATAAATATTTAAACGCTTATCCCGATTTTAACTAACTTTTTATTCAACGCCCAAGAGGCTCCGACTGCGCTGCCTGCGTCGACGTCGGCAGCGGCCGTTCTTGTTGTTGCTATTCTCGACATATGATTCAATAGAGCGATCGTCTCTCTCTCTCTCTCGCGCCCTCTCTCTTTCTCCTCCTCCCTCCCACGGACAATTTCAGTTTTTTGTAATATTTCTGTTAGCTGTTTTTGTTGATGTATTTGATGCTGTTGTTGTTATTGTTGTTGCTGTAGCGGCTGTAAATGATATTTTAAAAAAATGTGTTAGCATGGAGCGAAAGTCGAACTGAAACAACAACCATTAGCCACACAAATGGTCGTCCGTTTGTTGTTCCCATTTATGCAAACAATTTTCATTCATTATTTATTTCGTTTTTGGAATTCTGCCCCGATTGACTCAGTCAAAAGTCGCAAGGCGCTCGTGGGTTAATTGGTCACTAAACTAAAGATAAATCTCTGTGTTATCAGCTAAAGCCGCTTATCAAACGTGCACATTCATTAAGGCCAGAGATATAAGAGAGCTTTGCGTCGCAATACTAAAGATTCAGCCAGAAACGAGGCCAATCTCGATATCCTACAGACTAAGGGCTATACATTTAGTCTTACTTAATTGTGAAAATTATCCAATTATCCCAATTATGAGTTTTCATGTGTTAAAGTGTTGGCCTCTCTAACAAATGTCTTATAGAACACATTACCGTATAATCGCATTTAAAGTTGTTTCTCTTTAAGTTTAGTTACTTGAACTTGGCGGTTGATCGGTTATATCAAATTAATTGCAGTTATTTTAGAATTTCGAGTTTGTACAAACCAACTAAAGTAATCTTAACTTTATTGCTTCCAGGGGGAGGTGCGGAAAAACGATTCTACGATTTCTTTTTCACCAATTCTTCAACAACATTCAAACGAACGAACAAGTAACCAGACCTTATTAGCTGAAATCAGCGATACCGGACAACAGGCAGGACAACCTTTAGACATCACTGAGAGACATTATTGAATCCAACGAATCCCGAAAATGGCCCACACACACCTGGGACGCGCCGTGAAAAACATCGAGGCGCCGCGCCCACTGAAGACACAGTCGCGATCGTCGCTGAAGAACAGCTACCTGGTGATTGAGGAGCTCATCCAGCTGATAGACAGCGTCACCGTGGGCCTGCAGTCGTGCAACACCACGCCGGACTCGATCACGCTGCTGCTGCACAACCTTCGGGTGCACGGACCGCAGCTGGAGGCGGTGTCCAAGGACACGCTGGACCGGGCCTTTGTCGTTTTCCGCAACGCTTCGCAGGACGAACGGCTGAACATAACGACGCGCCTCAAGCTCCTCGAGCTGATCGAGCTGCGCGCCAAGAGCTGGGACAATGACGACACAATCGCGTACTACAAGTCCAAGCAGCATATCTCCAACGTGGAGGTGAGTCTGTCACAGAGAACCCTTAACTAAGGGCTATTGTTAATTTTTGAGCTCAATAATTTACTTTTTATCGTGTTAATTGCCTAATTTTGGGAAATTAGCAAGTAGTTGTCAATTATTTATCATATTTGATTCGATTTTTGTAATTAATTAATATTGAATTAATGAACTCCGTTTGGATGCCATGTTGAACTTAGTTCGAAATAATTAAACCTAATTCAATTAATGTTTTTTTACATTATTTACCTTTCATATCATATCAAGTTAATTAAGATTACTAAAAGTGGTTGTAAACGATGCAGCGGCAGTATTCTTATATGTCATGAATGGTTTAGATGTTGTGTATTCTTTGTATAAGGCAACCGATTCATAATTTACTATCAAACTTATCAAGAAATTGTTTTCAAATCTAATCACCATTCTCTCTTTTAGCTGCCCCCGCTGGAATATCAGTACGATGCCGGCGTGCAGCCTTTCAGCACCTCCCCCACATTCGGCGTCAGCGGCGGTGTTGGCGGAGTCAACGTTGGAGCCGCAGCCGCCGCTGCCGCCGTCTTCAATGCGGCATCTGCAGCCGCCGCCGCCCAAGCTGCGGCCATTGCGGCCGTGGGCTCACCCAACCAGCAGCACATGCTGCTGCCGCCCGGTGAGGTCATCCGCAATTCCGGAAAGTTCCCAAAACCGACCAAGATCCCCGGTAAGACGTACTGCAAGGACGAGGTCGTGATCCGCAACGCTGACTCTGGAAAAGGTGAGTATTCCGCGTTTGAGAAGTGTCCTTGAACACTGATCTTTAAATTGAACTTGATAACGTATTCCACTAATCTCGTGGCCACAAAGTCATGGGCATCAAAGGGCGACGCGTGCACATGATCGAGGAACTTAGCGAAACCATAATATCGTTTCAAAGAGGTAACCCCCAGAAAGCTGGTTTTCAATTGTCCTCACTGCACCCGCATATCATTTGGCACGCTTATTGCATTCAATTGTTTGGTGGCTTTGTACCCAAATTTACTAAAAAGAAGGATTGCATGACCCATGAATTTTTTCAATCAACCTACTCCCATTTACATTGACTAAGACACTACCATTTTTATTTAAATGCCATTATATTTATGTTTTGAAAATCTATAACCATTTTGTTATTTCAAATGTTATTGTTATTTTTATCACACGTCATATTTATAAACTTTAAATGGTTCAATTACAATTTATTAATGAATTTTTTTTCTGTTAGTCAACCCGGGCGCCAAGGAGCGTTTAGTACAGATTACTGGTCCAGCTGAGGATAAAATTAAGTGAGTAATGTAAATGTATGGAAAAAATGCATAGATGGGGCAGCAAAGAAAAATTTTTTTAAAACTCCTTTTTTAAACTTATATATTTTTTTACTTGAACACAATTTAAATTTTAAATGAATTTTTAAGAACTATTTATTGCACCGCGGCTGTACCATCATAAACGATTTCAAAAGTACGGCAACATTAGTGCTAAAAATAACAGTAAACTCTGGTTCCGATTGGCAGCCTCAAATCTAGTTAAGCTTTCACTAGAACTCTTTTATTTATTTATGCCTTCTTTTCACGACAGCTACGCCAAACAACTGATGGAGGACACCATCCGCCGGAACGCCTCACCGGTGCGCCTGGAGCCCGCCCCCGCTGCCGGAGGATCCTGCTCCTCCCTGAACTCGTCCAACTCGGATGACGCCATCGTCCAGCCGCGCACTCCTAGCGGCAGCAGTTTGGCCAACCGGCTGAGCTTCAACTCGGCGCAGAACTTCATGACCGCCACCGCTGCCGCGCAGCAGATCTCGCAGCAGGTGCACCACCACACGCAGCAGCAGCAGCAGCAGGTGCTTCACCAGACGCACCACCACCAGGCGCAGCAGCAGCAAGTCGCCGCAGCAGCAGCAGCAGCGGCACATGCTCAGGCGACAGCCGCTGCCGGTAAAGTCTTGCGTCCCAATCAGCAGCTGCTAATGCACTCATATTCCACAAACGATGCTTCCGTAGGTGAATACAAGTTCACGGTCAACGTGGGCCAGCACCTGATCAAGATCACCGGCGATTGCTGCGAACTAGTGCGCGTAAGTGGAGCCATCACTGAAATTAACATTAAACTATATTAGCTAGAATATATAGTCATTCGATTTTTAACACCCAACTTATTCCAAACAATAAGCAATTATGTTTTAAACCAGTGTACCATATGGCCTAATTTTCTAATCTTTTTTCCATATGATATAGTATACAAATAGCATACATTTATTTATTCCAAAATCATTTATCCTTTCGATTTTGATTAATTTAAAAAGAGCATTTACCTATTGGTACAAAAAAAATCATTCACTAGACCATAATTAAATTAAATATATCCCTACATATGAAAAATTAATGGTTTTCCAGGTGGCCAAACTTGTGCTCGATGACTACTTTAGCAGCTCGGAGTTTCTGGCCTCCATTGAGGCTGGCGCCGCCTTTGACGGCACTTCTCTGGTAAGCCCAGTGACCACGCCGTCGACTCCGCTTCCCGGCGCCGGACCGCCACAATTTTTACTGCCTGGAACGGACAGTGGCATTGGACTGAACTACGCCGCCGGTTCGGCAGCAAACAATAACGGCGAGGGCGACGACGAGGTGTTTTCAGAGCCCAACAATGCAGGATCGGCGGCTAACAATCAAAATGGACTGGCCAGGTCGCGTCGCAGCCACTTTTCTCGCAAGGAGTCCACACCGGAGACCAAGGGTGTTCGTGAGAAGTTTGACGTGGACGAGCTGGCTGGCCTTAATCCTTCAAAAAGCAATGCATGTAAGATTAAATCATTTATTGAGTTCTTAGTTTGAGTTCTATAAGTTTAGTTCATTTATTAATTACTTGAAATTACTTCTACAGCACGCGTATCTTACGATATTGAGCACTTGATCTACTACTCTATGAGTCCGCACGCCTGGGCCCTGCCCCTCGACTGGCAAAAGATGCAGGAGACATCGCCCTCGATTCTGCGCAACAAGGTAATTCCGCCTTTCAATGGCCCAGTCGACTTTATAGCTTACTCTACGAACCTACCCGACTCAAACACCTTCACCACTGCACCTAACTCATCAGTAAAAACCAATCCGACTGCGCCCAAAGCCATAAATGAAATAACCTCCACCCCGACCACCAACATCATGAGCACCACCGTTGGAAGCGCTGCTGTCGAGGCAGCTGCAGACAATCTCATAACCGCCACTAACAAGCAATCAAAAGGGATCGTCGTCGAGCGCGAGACCCGTCGCCTTCCCAAACCATCGGCCATGTCCGATCGGAATCTGTACAACAAGCAATTGCAAATCATATCCAATACCGTGGGTGCATCGGTTGCCCACCACGGAAAGAATCGTCCGGGTCAGCAAACATCCCAAGTGAAGGCGATTTTCCAACGCTACATCGAGGACGATGAATTTTCCCTGGCCTTAAGCGAATCCGAATCGAATAATAACCAAGCTTTTTTCTAATTTTATTTCTTGACAACTTTATTTACGTAGCCGGAATACGTATCGAATATTATTGAATCTCGGCCACAGATTGGCTATTCCTTTCGAATCATCTCAAAACAGTATTATGGTTTTATTATTTTCTATTCCAAACCACATAACTTGTCAAGTGTATTAAACGTGTAGCATGAGAAATCAGATAGACAATGAATCGAAGCAAAATCATTGTCATTATCATACAGTCATAAAGCAAAGGACATACCAACGAAACCAAACCAATTACCAAGTGAAACTATTCGCTAGTCTTAGACGTAACAATACATCTAATGCATTGAAATTAAAATGTATCTATAGGGAGAATCTGTGTTTTGGCTGTGAAACAGATTAAGTCTTCTCTAGAGTTAAACTTTAAACGCGGTTCGAACCGCTTAACCACTAACAAACAAACATTACATTCTCGAACTCACACCCACATTTACAAAGCTGTAATTAATGTTTTAATAAGACTTATAACAACTGTAACAAATCTAGTTTTAAGCGTTTTATCCCCGAACACATATTCAGTACGATTTATAAAAAAAATTCGAATAAACATTAGGGCTTTCAAAGTCCGAAACAAAGCTTGGTTGGGTTTAACTGATACTGCATACATTCTAATTTGTGTATAACCACCGAACAACCATAACATTGAATGGCTAACTCATCCAAAGCACGCTAACCACAACCACACAAAATGGCTAACTTAGGCTAATCTGTTCCATATGTACATATGTTTGTCCAAGGTAAGCTCGACCCTATTATTGACCACCTGTAACCTTTTGCCATCTACTATAAATATGTTTTTCGTTTGACAACAGGATCTGCAGGATGAGAGCCAGCGCTTCGATGGTGATAAATATCTGGCCAGCATTAAGACTGCCGTCAAGCGAGATATTGTGGCAGCCGATGATGTCGAGACCCTGGATGAATAACCCACCCACTTGAGTGGTCCAAACTGACAATATAGATAATACGCATACATTATCAGTGTCCGGGGCGGAGGGCTCAGCTCAGACAGAGCTAGACTATCCTTCAATGATTTTGGCCCTAGCCTCATCTAAAAAACGCAAAAACAAAACGACCAAAAAAAAAATATTGAAAAATCAAGCAACTCAGTGCTGAACTAACCTTAGAAATTACCAACGACATAAATCAAAACTTTCAAAATAACTAGAAAATTCAACGAAGCTCTTAGTTAAGTTCAAGCGAAATGGGAAACGAACTTCCCAATATATACTAATTTTCAAAATGCAGCTAACTGAAAAGGCTCGAAACAGTCGGCCCTAACTTTAATGGCCAATATTAAATGGAATGCATTTTTTAGTAACTCAATAGAGAATGACACATTTTTAGTTTGAAATTTGTTTCTCATCCTTCCCAAAATTTGTTTCTCCCAACCAAATAATTCTCAAAATGGAAAAAGAAATGTATTAATTCATCTATGTGTTTATTATTATTTTATTATTCTTTTGTGACTTGCTTTGAATATCATTTTTCAAGATTTGAAATTGTATTTTGTTTTCTCTAGTCTATGCATCATAGAAATTTTTATATTATTTTTGTTAAATTCTTGTGGAAATGTAACAAAACGAAATCCACACCAAAACTCTTTGAATTTCTCTTTATGCTTTAGTTAATTTATTTTATTTATTTTGTACAAATACAAATAGATTCTTCAAAAAGATATTTGCAAGGAAAATAAAATGGAATCAAGATCAAAACACTGCATATTTCACATCTACCAACTTTTACCCCAAACAACAACACGTCGGTTTCGTTATTTAATTTGGTGAATGTACATTTACATAATTTTATTCAACATATACAACAAAAAAAATAAATATAACAATAGTTTACGGCTTGATATGTATCATAGAATATTGGCTAGGAGTTTAACCCAACGAACGACCACGACGATTGTGCGGTTAGCAGAGTGTGCTCCGTGTTGCATAACAAGTCAAGTTTAGAGAGATGGCGTTAACATCACAATTGGTTATTGGTTAGTAACAGATAATAATCGATCTAGCGCACTTAGTTGCCCAATAAAGGCCGTCGATTCACGAATGGGCACTGCATCGCGCTTTTGGCATGTACACAAAGCAAATACATTTAGAAAGAGAATGTTAATTAGTCAGGAGGGACTGATGTGGGGAGGTGTGTCATCAGTGCACAACATCAAGACATCAATAGCATGCTCAACTCGACTCAATATTCACGTACATCGATGTGTGATATGTGGCCCTCTGGGCAGGTGACATATTCAAGTTGCCCTGGTGTTTGCGGTTGTAGGCCCAAATCGCACAGGTGGCCAGGAGTGAGACTAAAAAATAAAGTTGATTGGTTTAATAACTGAGCTCATCAAACAAACAGTTAATCTTACTCAGCAGGAAGACCATGAAGAAGACCTGCAGCCAGAAGTGGCTGCCACCGCTGCTATCCACAATAATGCCCGCTGCAATGGTCACCATCGCTAGTCCCAGATTCTGCACAGACTGGCAGCTGAAATAGGCACAACTAAGTTCTAAAATCGATCCCAAAAGTCAGCACATAAATGAACTTACAAGCCATATGCCGTGCCCAGTTGATATTCGGGCACAATCAGCGAGACCAGAGGCCACAAGCTGGCAGCCAACATGGAATAGGACAAGCCCATGATGCTCATGCCAATGTAGGGATCCCAGTGGGTGAAGGTCAGCAGGAAGTGGGCCAGCAGCGTGGATATGGTGGCGCAAAACACCCAGGTTACATTCCGTCCCACTTTGTCAATTACGAAACCAAACAGGGGCGATGCTATAGCAGAGATCAGGTAGACAATCGAGTTGACCGTGTTCGCCTCATCCGGTGTCATGTGGAAATTGCTCACGAAGAAGGCCTGTCCCAAAGCCACAAAGGGAAAAATGGCCACATAGTAAGCCACGCAGACCACCGACACCATCCAAAAGTCCAGCTTAAAGGTGACTATGTCGCTCAATTTGGCAATTTCCCCACCAGGATTATTATTACGCTTAAGAATGCGCTCCGCACGCTTGTCCATCCAGCCTAAACATTTGATTTTTAGAAAATTAAATATAAATAATTGTTTTAAACACAAAATTAAAACTTAAAGAACAGATCCTACCTAGAATCAGGGTGCAGAGCAGGGACATCACACATGTCGAGGAGGCCAGGAACAAGGCCACTCCCAGACCCTCGTAGCCAGAGTAGGATTTTGATACGTATCCATATAGGGGTTGCATTATCCAAAAGTTCACGGTGCTGCCGAAGCGAGCCACCGATAACTGTAGTCCGAAGACCATATTGAGCTCCTTTCCCTTGAACCACAGCACCGCATAGCTGTTTTGGGCCACAGCCAGCGACTCAGCCCCGATGCCGAACACAAATCGTCCCACTATCATCAACCAGAAGTGACCCAGCACTCCGCCCGTGGCGAAGATCAGTTGGCCAACGAGCACGATCAGCATGTAGATAATGGTGCCCAGACGGATGCCGAACACCCGATCGATAAGGAAGCCGCCCACAAAGCAGAGCACTATGTTTGGCCACGAGTAGATGGAGTAGATCAAGGTGAACTCAGTGGAGCTGAGATCCAGCTCCTTCTGGAACACATCCTGCAATGCGCCGGGATTATCGTAGCAAAAATAGGAACCTAAAAATAGAGTTAGTTTTGATTTATTGGAATATTTCAGTTTTGGAATTCCAATTTAGAAAATGTCTAGTTTAATTTATATAAATACATTTGTGAAGTCAAAAGTATTCCAATTTTTTTGATTGTTTGTTAGGGACATTTACGCAAATATTAAATAAAACCGGATATACATATGTAACTGGATTACCTTTTTCTAAATAAAATCGGCATTATTCGAGAACTTTACTTTTTGAAAGCATAAAATTGTTTCCCTTTATTCTAATTTACAACAAAATAAATTATGAGATCAAAGTGCTTTACTTTCTTTTTCTTCTATAAACCTTTTTTTTCGAATGAATCATCGTTTACGATTTTTTTTTTTAATTTGGAAATGACCCTTATTAAGGATCTTTACTTTCTTTGACTCACCAAAACCCAAGAGGCACATGAAGAGCAGGGCCAGGAATCGGTGGGGAGTGCTCGACGGATCGCAGCATCCTGCATCTTTTTGCGGACCGACGAGGACAGTGTCCCGGGTACTTCGACGTCGCACTACAGGATGCACTTCATCATCGCCGCTGCTGCAACTGCTGCTGTTTGAGGTGTCAACGATGGGTTTGCGTTCCTCGCGTGACATTTTTTCCAGTTTATGTGCCGTCAGGACGTCGGAGGAATGACAGGAAATTTGAGTTGTGCGATGGTAATTGCTTTTTCTTGCTCCTCCTTTGGAATTCCTGCGGTGGGTGGTGGTCGGTAGCGGGTGGGTGGCGCCGGGCTGTGGCCCTAGTGTTGTTGCTTATCACTAGACCACACCATTATTCCTTGTTGTTGTTGTTGCTGTTGCCTTAGTATATGTGCAGTATTGATTATTTCCACACACAAACGAATGAATACGGGAAAGTTGAAAGGGGGAATGTTACGGTTAATCTGCAATAAAAAGCCAAGATTGAAAATTGCATTCCACGCAGTACATTTTCCACGCACCCACACACAAGCAAAAAGGTAAATGTCACTGGTGGGTGTGTTTGTGTGGGTTTACTAGATAAACACGACAGATCTTGTCGCCCATTTGTTGACTAACGGTAAATGGGTAATCAATTAAGCGCGTGCAGTGTGTTGCGGCCTTAACTTTGGGTTGACACCTGATTTAGGGTTTTATTACGTTATTTGCGTATTGAAAACAGCTCAAGCGTTTGCCGATACATACACACATGTCAATAAATATGCATATGTAAACGCCGTATATCGACAAAAAGGGATTAAAAACCTAATGCCCCGTTATCGCAGGCAACAAGTAACGTCACACACTAATTCATCACAAGTCCACGGTCTTATTTTGCATTATTTACGTTATATTTTTTTAAATTGCTATTGTGCCGGGTTTCCGGTTCGGAAAAATATATTTTTTTTTATTTTAAGGAAAACGTATTTTAATGATAAAGAAGTAATTATGATGAACACGCAGAGTGGTGTCTACCATATTCAACAAGTTGAGGACTTACGGTTTATTTCGGTCCCCTGGGCAGGAGAAGAATGCTTGGCTTTACCTGATTTCCTTACCTTTAGCTGAAGGGATGGAAGTAACGACTTCTTTCAGTTATCGATGTATTGCTCACCTATAAAAATCATTGTAACGGTATACTTCTATCGCTACACCCTTAGAAAAAGAAAGCTTGAATTGTTCTAGAATTAACAATAAATAAACTACTAAAAGTATAATTTTAGTTTTCCTGTTTTAAAATAATAATAAACACCGTTGTTATTTAACAAATTAAATTTAAAAATATCAAAGCGTAAGCTTTGTATGATAAAATAACGGTATATACAAATATTTACACAAATTTGAGCCTATCGATAGTTTACAACACTGCCCGCCCTCGCATCACTGGTCAAGTGTTGATAAATGCCATTCGCGCATCAGGTGGCAACCGTGTGATTTTACACGAAGCAAAACAACTATTATTATTATTAAATTCAGCACAAAGTTCAATGATTTTTAGGTCTGCACGTACACAATTTGATCAGGAAGCACTGGCATAGCGAAAAGTATGTAAGTGAAAGTTCTAGAAGGGCAAATTTAGCCGAATCACCAGGCACACTTGGTATTTTGTGCAGTGTAAAGGCGCCTGAAAATCCAACGACAATGTTGTCTTCGTCTCGCACAACGCAAATTTATTCAAAGACCTACTGCCACATTTTGATACGCTCTCGAATAGCTAAACACGTTTCGTATGCTTGCATGTCCATTTCGTAATGCCCCCAAACAGGAACTAAGGTCTGTCCACGCGAGATGGCGGCGATAAAGGTGAGAGTCCCCCCGCTGAAATCAAACAATGGCCCATTTTTAAATGCGTTGTAAACGTTCCGCAGAACATCACCCTGGGCATTCTGTACGGCCTGTGGGACAGCATACGTGGCATGACTCTGGTCCTGCACATCGACGACGAGGTGAACCGCCAGAATGCCGAGCAGGAGCACCGCCACCAGCTGCGTCGCACCGACAAGGATCGCTACGAGCGTGCAAGGAGGTCTCCATCACCAGTGCCCAGTTCGGCGGCTGCCATGATCCGGGAGGAGTACGCCAAGCAGGCGGAAGAAAATGCCGATGAGCGGACGCTAGAGAAGATCCTGGGCAAGAAGACCGTGGTCCAGGAACAGCAGCCCCAGGGGTAAGTGACACAAAGGCTGACCAATCTCAATATATACCTACATTTATTGCGCATTTGATTTATTACCTACGACGCAGGGAGAAGAAGATCGCCAAGAAGCTGTTCAAGTGCTGCATGCTCAACGGCGGCTTCACCTGGCTGAGCATCGTCCTGTTCGAGTCCGCCCTGCTGCCCACGCTCAAGTTCTGCCTGACCATCTTCTACGGAGCGCAGTCAGAGACCCTGCCCGTCGTCTGGGGCTGGCTACATCCCATCCTGTCGCTGCTCTTCGGCATGATGTGGGTGCTGCCCATCTTCATGTTGTCCAAGATTGTGAGCTCGTTGTGGTTCGCGGACATAGCCAATGCCGCCTACCGCGTGAGGAAGGGTCGCCCGCAGCTGATCCCCGGCATCAGCAAACTAGTGGCCGACTTCCTGTTTAGTATGGTAGTGCAAATGCTGTTCCTGGTGCAGAGCATGCTGGTTAACCTAGTGCCCGTCAAGTATGTGGGCTCCTCGCTTTGCTTCGTTCACCTGTGCCTGCTCTACTCGCTGTACTCCTTCGAGTACAAGTGGTTCAACATGGGCTGGGAGCTGCACCGGCGTCTCACCTACATTGAGAAAAACTGGCCCTACTTCTTCGGCTTTGGCATACCGCTCACCGTACTGACGAACCTCTCCAGTTCGGTCATTGTCAGCAGCTGCATCTTCTCCATCTTCTTTCCCCTGTTTATACTCAGCGGCAACGAGGCGAAGCCCATTGTGGACACCACGTAAGTGTTTTTGATGTGGTAATACAGTCCAGCTTCACTAAATCGAATTTGTCAATGTCGAAATTAGTTTACCTCTTTGAACTTCAAACTATCTGCCTTTTTTGTTCTTTGGTTCGAGTATATATATAGCCTGAGTGAAATTTAATTCTCCCCTAAGCATAATTCGATTTAGAGAAGACCGTCTGTACTTCAGCTAAAAATATAAATAACTAAAAATTTTACTTCCGCCCCAGTGAGATCTCGCTGCGTCTCTTCTCGCCGGTGGTCTTCATATCGAACCTGTGCTTCGGCGGCAATCCGTGGAGCAAGGCCAACCGACTGAGTGCCATGCAGCGGCAGCAGTACGAGCTGCAGCAGCGCCAGCGACTGCTCCAGCGGGATGAGCAGCTGCTGAAGCAGCGCAAGCAGCAATATGTGCAACAGCAGCGGCTGCAGCAGGAGCAGCTAATGCGACGGGATCGAGATCGCTCCCATTCGCGGTCACAGACGCCGCAGCTGGGACAGCCGCATCGCTATGCCCAGGCGCCCGTTTTCGATGCGGGCCGGGTGCGTGACTCCTCCGCCTCGTCCACGCACAGCTCCAACTCGCCGAGCATCAATAGCCACCGGCCACCGCCTTATTACGGGAGCTCGCTGCGCGGAGCCGCGCCGCTAGTGCCCACACCGGTGCCCGGGGCACCGAGAGCGCCGCTCACCCCGCCCGTGATACGCCAGGAGTCGGGGCCCGATGACTGGAACTTGTGAGATTTATGCTTGTATACACGCAACGTAGGCTTTAGCTATATATTATAATTCGATCTGTGTAATGTACGTATCATCTACCTATCTAACCATCGTGAACTGTGTAAGTTAAAGATAACTCTAGGTCTACGCATAATGACAATGTTCGCTAGTCGACACCGCCACCAACACAACGCCCCAATCGCATCGGGCATGACTATACATATATATAGATAGAGTGGCTATATCTGAAATGCGGCTCGGCGCAACTGCTGCATAATCGTTTAGATGTTTATTTTAGGCGGCGTTTTATTCTTTAATTTTTGCTCGTAGGGTGCATTCTCTACACTAGAAATTATGTCGGGCGTAAAGTTCATATAATGTATAATTAATCAAAAATAAAAATAATTTTGTACTTTCGTCAATTGTTGCTCTTTTGGTTTAGTTAATAAGCAGGCAGTTGATTAAATGTTATCAATATGCTTTGTCTGGGATTGATTAGAAATGGTGTGAGTCAGAACAAATCTAATGCGAAGGGTGATTGAAATGTTTTTAGATTTAATTTAGGGAAGACTTTTTAATCAAAAACACAATATTATTACCCAACGTAAACCCCATTTCTAGTGCCTCCCCCAACCGAATCCAATAATAATTTCATGTTGATGTGACAGTATAACAAGCTCTTCAAAAACCTCATAATAGCTCTCCCACCAACGCAATCCGCTTTTTGTAACCGCCACCAATTAACGACAGAGTTCCAGCACGAACAATCGAACGAGGATATGTGTTCCATGTTTGGTTTTTGGGGCGATGGTGATGTGGGCTTGTGGGCGATTACCCATCAAATTGATTATCACCAAGGTAACACCCATGTGTCCACACATTGTCGGTGTTGAAAGTGGAATTGTCAGTAACACTCTGGGCAGTATCCTTTTTTAAAAGCGTAATTTCCTCGACAGTCGCAATTTATTGCTCGTGTCGTGTGGTCACTTGCCAGTTCGTGAAATCCCGAATCGAAACCCCTATGTTGATATATTGATAATGATTTTGGTGGGACTAAAGACATTTAAAAATGTTTCGCTGGTTATATTTTTGTGGTTCTTAAGCGGCTCAAACAGGGAGATCGCTGCGCAAACTACTCAAAATATCAATGTCTGTAAGTGAAGACTCAATCGATTTGAAAATGGATAGCACATATGGGATACAAGTATTCGGAAATTATGGAATTTTTTTAATCAGGGGTAACATTAGTTGTGTACTCTTTGTAAGATTAAAAATAAACTTAAAAAATTAATCAAGATAATCATATTTTCTATAAGTACACTAAGTCTGTATGCTAAGAGTAAGACCCTTTTTTACAGTAGTTCAAGGTTTGACCAAAAAACATTACACATTTTTATAAAATAACCAAATCAAAAATAGGAAATTATATTTTCCCATTGTTATCCTTGTACCTATATTTATTTTTAGGTATTCTCAAAGCATTATTTTTTTCACAAACATTCTTTGCTCAGTGCACATTAAGTAAACTAATTAGGTAAAAACTACGGGAAAAGATATTGGTGGGTGGATTAATTGGGTGGTGCCAGTCATAATAAGTTCTAGGGCATATAAACAAACGCAGTGCCACGTAATGCTTTTGGCCAATGCATTTTAACCCAACCAATCCAATCCAATCCTTTGGGATAGTGTTTATCAACGAGGTGGACAATGAACCAGCGGCCAAGGCGGTGGACGTGGTGGTTACCTATTTGAAGAAGAACATCCGATATGGCCTCTCGGTGCAGATGGATTCGATAGAGGCCAACAAATCGGATGCCAAGGTGCTGCTGGAAGCCAGTGAGTTTTGGTTGGAATAGTCCTTCGATTTTTATTTTGTTTAATTTCCCCGCCAGTTTGCAATAAGTATGCGACAAGTATTGAGAAGAAACAGACGCCCCATTTGATCCTGGACACCACTAAATCCGGAATAGCCTCGGAAACCGTGAAAAGTTTCACCCAGGCCCTGGGATTGCCCACCATTAGTGCCTCATATGGTCAGGAGGGCGATTTGAGGCAGTGGCGCGATTTGGATGAGGCCAAGCAGAAGTATCTACTGCAGGTAATGCCCCCGGCGGACATTATTCCCGAGGTTATACGAAGTATTGTGAGGCATCTGAACATCACCAATGGTAAGAAGATATGAAAACTAACAAATATATACCCAGTTTTAATTTTATGTTCTTACAAAACGCTTTTAAAACAGAAAAACGATACTATCCTTAAACATTATAAATTGAAATAATAATAATAATAATACATGACCTATTATTATTTTATTAATTAGAATTTCTACAAAATCATAAGTTCTAGATATTAGTTAAAAAAAAAGAAAAACGATTTCATTCTTATACATAATAATATTTAAATTAAAATTCCTTCTCAAATTATATTTAATATGTATTTATTTTGCTTAATACTTTTAGAATAAATACATTTTAAGTATTTCAAAAGTTTCCATTTCTGATTAACAATTTAAATTAAAGAATTGTACTAAGTTTTTGTTCAGCTTGTTACCAATAATGTAACTATATATATCTTGACCAGCTGCCATTCTGTACGATGAAACCTTCGTGATGGACCACAAGTACAAGTCCCTGCTGCAGAACATCCAAACCCGTCATGTGATCACCGCAATAGCCAAAGATGGAAACCGTGAACGCGAGGAGCAGATCGAAAAGCTTCGTAATCTGGACATTAATAACTTTTTTATTCTGGGCAATTTGCAATCGATTCGCATGGTATTGGAATCTGTGAAGCCGGCGTATTTCGAGCGTAACTTCGCCTGGCATGCAATCACTCAGAGCGAAGGCGAAATTAGTAGTCAGCGGGATAATGCGACCATCATGTTCTTGAAGCCCATGGCGTATACGCAATATCGGGACCGCTTGGGATTGCTGCGAACCACCTATAATCTCATGGAGGAGCCGCAGTTGGCGTCTGCATTCTACTTTGATCTGGCACTCCGCAGTTTTCTAACCATTAAGTGAGTTTGGCTTAATTACATTTATATTTGTCCCTTTACTTATTTATTTATTTTGAACAGAGAAATGCTTCAATCGGGTGCCTGGCCAAAGGACATGGAATACCTGAATTGTGACGATTTTCAAGGCGGCAACACACCCCCGAGAAACGTGGATCTGCGGGAGTACTTCACCAAGGTGGGCTTTTCCATTTGTACAACACAAATTATGGTTAATAAGTCACTTCAACGCTTTTTGTTCTCGTTCCACAGATAAGCGAGCCGACATCGTATGGAACCTTTGATCTTGTCACGCAACCCAGGCAGCCCTTCAACGGCTTTAGCTACATGAAGTTCGAAATGGATATAAGCGTGCTACAGATTCGTGGCGGCAGTTCCGTGAACAGCAAATCGATTGGCACCTGGACAGCGGGTCTGGACTCGCCCCTCATCGTCAAGGATGAGGAGCAGATGAAGAATCTGACGGCGGACACGGTGTACCGCATCTTTACAGTAGTGGTGGGTGAAATCAAAGGCTTAGAACGGATTTATTAAGGGTACTTAAATTCATCAAAAGGAAATGCTGACTTTAGAATAATATTTTAAATTGGGACACCCAGATATCTATTTTTTATATCACAGATAGATCTGCATTCTAAACTGGCTAACCACTTTTTTAGTTAACTAACTTTCTTAGATCGCTTTGAGCTTTTTGGAAACGGTGATATTATAATACTGACATACTTTTTTCGTAAAATAAAAATCTTAAAAAAGTTAAAAACACTTTCAATAAATTCAGAGAGTGTGCTTAAAATTCCTCTTTTATTTTTGGCAATTAACCTTAATTATTAGGTCGGTTTTGAATTACCATAAAATGAACTTGCCATAAATAGAAAAATTACTAGCCTGTAAGAAAAATGATAAACACAACATATATGTACATATACTATATTTCAAATAAGTTTGATTTTCATATAATGGTGGGTGGGTCAAATCACTTTCCTAAATAAATATTTCAATTTTCTTTGTACTTCACAGCAAGCTCCTTTCATTATGCGCGATGAAACGGCACCGAAAGGATACAAAGGATACTGCATAGATCTCATCAACGAGATAGCTGATATTGTCCATTTCGATTACATCATCCAAGAAGTTGAGGATGGTAAATTTGGCAACATGGACGAGAAGGGCGAATGGAATGGCATTGTGAAAAAGTTGATTGATAAACAGGCTGATATTGGCCTTGGCAGCATGTCCGTGATGGCCGAAAGGGAGATTGTCATTGACTTCACGGTGCCCTATTACGATCTGGTGGGGATCACCATCATGATGCAGCGACCCAGCTCTCCAAGTTCGCTTTTCAAGTTCCTCACCGTTCTGGAGACGAATGTGTGGCTCTGCATCCTGGCTGCCTACTTCTTTACCAGCTTCCTCATGTGGGTCTTCGATCGCTGGAGTCCATATAGTTATCAGAATAATCGCGAGAAGTACAAGGACGACGAGGAGAAGCGGGAGTTCAATCTGAAGGAATGCCTGTGGTTCTGCATGACTTCGCTGACACCTCAAGGTGGTGGCGAGGCTCCCAAGAATCTCTCTGGACGTCTGGTGGCCGCCACTTGGTGGTTGTTCGGGTGGGTTATCAAGTTTAAACTTTATTTAGATATATATTTTGTAATTATTAAGTTTGTTTCCTACTAAGCTTCATCATCATTGCCTCGTATACGGCCAATTTGGCGGCCTTTTTGACCGTCTCCCGTTTGGATACGCCCGTCGAAAGTTTGGATGACTTGGCCAAGCAGTACAAGATTCTATATGCCCCCTTGAACGGCTCATCGGCAATGACTTACTTCGAGCGAATGGCCAATATAGAGCAGATGTTCTATGAGATCTGGAAGGATCTGTCCCTTAATGACTCTTTGACTCCCTTGGAGCGCTCCAAGTTGGCCGTTTGGGATTATCCGGTGAGCGATAAGTACACCAAGATGTGGCAGGCCATGCAGGAGGCAGCTCTGCCTGCAACACTCGATGAGGCGGTGGCAAGGGTGCGGAACTCTACAGCAGCCACGGGATTCGCCTTCCTGGGCGATGCCACCGATATACGCTATCTGCAGTTGACCAACTGTGATCTCCAAGTGGTCGGGGAGGAGTTCTCCCGGAAACCCTATGCCATCGCCGTTCAGCAAGGCTCACATCTCAAGGATCAGTTCAATAATGCGTAGGTAGTCCCCAAAGCATATCCCTATCCATGTCATTAAATCCGTAATCTTAAAGAATCCTGACCCTGCTCAACAAACGACAGCTGGAGAAGCTCAAGGAGAAGTGGTGGAAGAACGACGAAGCCCAGGCCAAGTGCGAGAAGCCGGAGGATCAATCGGATGGCATATCCATCCAGAACATTGGCGGTGTCTTCATTGTGATCTTTGTGGGCATCGGAATGGCCTGTATCACTCTGGTCTTTGAGTACTGGTGGTATAGGTATCGCAAGAATCCCCGGATCATCGATGTGGCCGAGGCCAGTGGGGATCGTTCGAATGTCAAGGATCATCCGGGCAAAATGGCCGATGGAGTAATCCTTGGCAATTCGGGCGAGAAGTTTGAAAAGTCGAATGCTGCACTGCGTCCACGCTTTAACCAGTATCCGGCCACATTTAAGCCACGTTTCTAGGAGAAATCTGTTGGCAATGAATCGAATATTATAGTAAATCGTGCACTGGGATGTCTACGTCTAGTATTTAAGCAATTTCAGACACTTTGTGCACTTTTATTCAAATCGTAATAAATGTTTTAAAAAGGTTTGCTTTTCATTTGGTTATTATAAAAAAGATTGAAATAGGGCCTAAGCTTCCAAAGGATATTAGCTTAAAATAGCAATAACATTAATTTCAGTTTTTTGAATTTAAAATTACTTAGGGTATTCAATTGGCTTTTTTAAAATTATGCCCAACTATTTTTCAAATGCTGTTTAGTATTTAAATTGCAATATAAGATAACGCGTTTTTGGTTATAGCTTTTCTCCCACCATCTGGTCACACTATACCAAAGCACTGCCCAAAAAGTCAACATAAAATTCCATCTCCGCCCGCGCACATTAGTTTTGTTTTTAATTAACCGCGATGGGGGACAGTTCGGATGAGGAATACCTGGGCACGGAATGGATGCCATATAGCGAACGCTCCGACTGGAAGGATGTGGAGCCACTGGCCCAGGACGACGGCGTCAATCCGGTGGTGTCCATTGCCTACAGTCAAAAGTGTGAGTAATGCAGGCGGCTTTATCTCCGGAAGTTACCATCGATCTATATATATCTCCCAGTTCGCGAAGTTTTCGACTACATGAGGGCCGTGATTGCTCGGGGGGAGAAGAGCCAGCGTGCCTTGGACCTCACCACGGATGCACTGCGTCTCAATCCGGCCAACTACACGGTTTGGCAGTACCGACGCGACATCCTGCGCGAACTGAAGGCTGATTTAAATGCCGAACTCGATTACCTCAGCGAGGTGATCGGCCAAAACTCGAAAAACTACCAGGTGTGGCACCATCGTCGCGTCATCGTCGAGATGCTGAACGATCCCAGCAACGAGCTGGAGCTCACGGAGAACGCCCTGGTCAACGATGGCGACGCCAAGAACTACCACGCCTGGCAGCATCGCCAGTGGGCCATACGCAGCTTCAAGTGAGTGGGGTCTTGGGAATCCATTCCAAATATCTATAAACCTATATATATAGTCTACTAAAAAATAACAATGAAGTCAAAGCCTCAGTCAGTAAAGCTATGTCATTAAATTTAAGCTTTATTCATTCTCATTGTATATAACTGATTTACATTCAATCAAGTTTTTGTTCAAGTTTAAGTACTTATTGACTCAATTTCACTTTTTTAAATTTATAGACTCTATGACGACGAGCTGAGCTTTGTGGATCGTCTGATTTGCGAGGATCAGCGCAACAATTCGGCCTGGAATCAGCGATTCTTTGTGATCAAGTACTTTGGTTTCACGCCGGATTTGATCCAGCGGGAACTGTCGTACACGATGAACCGCATTCGCATAATCAAGAACAACGAAAGTGCCTGGAACTATTTGGTGGGTGTGCTGCGGCAGGGCGACAATGGCAAAGGACAGCTGAACAGCTACCCTGAGGTGGTGGAGTTCGTGGAGGAGCTCTACCAGGCCGGCAACCGATCCCCCTATCTGGTGGCCTTCCTCATCGATCTGTACCAGGAGCAGGCACTCCAGTTAAAGGTCGGCGATAGCGATCAGTTGGCCCGTAAGGTATACGGCCTATGCGAGGACATGGCCAGCAAACACGATACAATCCGTCGGAAGTACTGGCATTATGTGGCCACCCATCTGAAGAACCAGCTAAGCGAAGTCGAGGAGAAGCACCAGCAGCAGTAGTACAGGTCAAAAATTCTTGTTTGCTTAGTTTTAAACAACTTTACGACGTACTTAGGCCTTCTTTATACATAAATAAAATTACATTTACCAGTATAGCAGTGTCTAGAGAGTCTAGAATGTTGCAAAACCCAACCTAGACATTGCCACATGTCATCATGGGCAATCATCTTTTGTGTTTGCCGCATCTGTCCCGTTTTGTTTACCTAAGTGAGCTGTTGTGTTTGAACACGTAAATTTCATTAACAATGAGCAGATAATTTTAGCGCAGTGTGTACTCCAGATGAGGCCATTCAGCGGTTGAAATGAGCTCGTAAATTATGGAAATAATTTAATGCTTTTAATGCTAGGCTTTAGGTAGAGCTTCTGTTTGTGTGCAAATTAATGTGGGAATATTTGAGCAGCGTAGCAAACACTTAAGAATATATATCACCATTTTCTAGAGCAAAACTTCTCTTTCCCTTCAGTTATCTTGGGTAAGATACTATTCGAATTTGTTATCTTGTTCGTCAGAGACAGGAAGAACCTTCAGTGTGCTGTCTCAATATTGTTATTTATTTAAATTTTCTTCTTCAGTTTTTGTTTTTTGTTTTCTCATTTGTTTTTAGTTCGAGTACATACAATATAGCAGTTGTAATATATAACTTTTTCATTAAATTTGATTTTCTTGCATATATTTTGAGATTCTGTTTTTGCATTTTTATAATAGAAAACCTCCACAGATGACTTCGATCTTGGCCGCTTGGATGACGGTTGGATTTAAATCATCCGTGGTGAGAGTGGGAATCGGGTTTGGGAGTATGTACTTAAAATGAAGCAGAAGACATCTTTGGCGTGTTTTTTATTTTGTTTCTTTTCTTTTTTAGTTCAGCTAAATAGGAGCAAAATCATTGAGTACTCGTTTGCGTAGTTTAATAAAATTTCGTAATAATAAAATATATATTTATTTTGTATTCTTGTTTGGTTTTCGCTTCGTTTCGTATATTTTTGTTTTTTTTTTTTTTTTGGATTTGGGTATGTATATAAATTTGAAAAAAGCCTATAAATCCAAATTTACTTGGTACAAGACCATTTAAAATCAAAGCACTTCGTTTGGGTCATCGAAAGTATTCAATATTATTTGAAAAATATATATGTAGTATTCTGAAACGGGTTCTTTAAAAAGAGGAAAGTGTGCAAAGCTCTGTTCAGTGGCCCAAGCGAGAGATTTGTTTGTTTTTTCGGTAGCAAAGACCGATGATTTGAGATTATCATCCTGTTCAGAAATTTTGCGTGGCGAGCCAGAAGAGAGAAGTAAATTGTGTGTGTTTTGTTTGTTTAGTTCGTTTAACAATTTGATATATAGAGTTAATATATATAATAGTTTTAATAAATTGATGCGCTCCTTTTTATTTGCTCTGAGCCATTCTGTTTGTGTTTCTTGTTCGTTCTTGGAGTTCATTTTTGTAAAAGCATTTTTAGCAAAAAATTAAAAATTCTCTCTGTATTCGGTTCCCGTTTAAAATTTCTGACTTCAGCGCGTTCTTGATCGATTTAAATTCCCCCATTTAATGTTTAGTACTTGTCATCGAATCCTAATCAATACCCATATAAAATAAATCCCTTGATTCCGGCCGAAAATTCGCGTTCTCCGCTCGATGTCGCCGCGTTTTTCTGTGTGGAGGAAGCTTCATATACCATCTATAAATATACTCGTACAGTTTCTTGGTTTTCTCGTTAATATAATTGTTTAAAAAATCAACGCCACTTGATGTGTGCCATGTCCTTCCTGTCTGTCCTAAAGAGTCCTAAGAGGTGCTTACAGCTTTAAGCATAAGTTTAGCGTTGGCGCAGCGCTTCGATCGATCGATCCCGTATCGCATCCCTAACCCAACCTGGCCTACTTGTCCTCCCCGATGCCCTCGTCGGTCGTGGTCTTGCGCTCCCTCGCCTCGTCGCCGCTGATATCACATTTTTCAGCCAACATATCCTCGATGCCCTCGTCCACCGTCTGGCTCTCGCCGGGCACATGTTTGCGCCGCAGCTTGGTCACCACCACGCACTCGCCCTGCGGCAACGGCGGAAACTTTCCATAGGACGTGTTGCCAATGGTTCCCACGGTGCTGTCCTCGTAGCAGTCCGGTGTCATCCGCACCCGGCACGTCTCGAAGGCCTTCTCGTAGCCCAGCTTTGTGTACAAACTGCGGGACGCATCGTTCCCAGGACGTATCACTACGAAGGGCGTGTATCCTCGCTCGATCACCAACTGGGTCAGCGACTTGGCCAGACGAATGCCATAACTGTGGGGAAATGTAAATATTGTAGACTTAGTAAATCAAAACTGAATAAGCAGAGCCTTTAGAAATATCTTAAAATATTTATCAAGATTACTTTCAATTTTTGGAAAGTTTTGGAAATAGTTTTTCAAATTAGTTACAAACCTTTACAAAAAATGTAACTTTTTCTTCAAATATTACTTCAAGATATTTCTATATATATATCTATACAACCATCAAAGTTAAAGAACTTTCTGGGTCAGAGATGTTTGCATTTTGGCTCAAATTAGCTTTTAATAAACACCCCCGTAATTGTAGCTCTACTAACCCCATACGCCTAAAGTCTGGACGTGTTTGCATTGAGAACATGGCGCCGTAATATGAGTGGACCATCCAGGCGGCCAGCTCCCCAGTTTCCTTGCGAAAAATGCCCAAGCCGGGCAGCTTGCGCACAAGGATGTCAAACAGCTGGACGCACTCGATTTCGTTGGCAGGATATAGATCATGGATGCCCTGCACGTTGTCCAGGTTCAGCAGACGCATCTCCGCATCCTCCGGCAGCGGCTCCAGCTCCAGGTCGGCGTTCAGCTTGTTGCACACGTAGATATCACCACTGAGTCGTTCCATCACACCGAACTTCGAGTAGAAGTCATCCAGGCGATTCATAATGGCGATGTGCGTAAAGTTCAGGTACATAGGCTTCTGCCAATCTATAAGTACATCTTCGGTGCGCATCATATCGACATGCTCGATGTGTGCGGATGGACAAAATATTCCAAGAGTTTGGTATATGTTGTTGTGCGGCTATATAAATATTCAAAAATCAACTTTTGGACTCGAAAATAGTTTGTTCTGAACTCACCGCAAGCGTGCATCCTGGAAAATGAAGAATTATCGGTTTTTCGGGCCAATCCCTAGCAACATAAAACTTAAAATCCCAAATACGATCATTCAGGTACGTTTTTATGGTTTGATGAAACTGTAAGTAGAAATTGACAAATTCAAATTTAGTCAAGTTAGCTTGTATTGAATCGTAAGGAACATTAACACCAAGTACGTTTTATGGAGTTGAAACTGAAAGTAAAGGTGAATTAAAATTAAATAAGTTGTTGCTTAGTTTTGATGGAGTAATTAAGATTTCTGTTAGGCCTTTAAGACTTATGTAAATGGATATATGGCTACTCTTTTTTTCCATTTATTTATGAGGCTTAAAGAGTTTTAAATTACAATTTAAATTACAAAGTCAAAGTTCATATTAAATTAATCGTGCTTAAAGTCGCAATTAATTAAATAAAATTACACCACTTAACTTCTTTAAGCACTACCCATATTTAACAATTACAAAACGCATGTCGTAAAAGCATTTTCGCAGACGTTGGCATCGCATTCCCAGAGCTGTTGGTAACCGCCCCGGAAAAAACTTACTCGCTAAAAATCGAAACTTTAAGCAACTCCAGGGGTGGCCAAATCCTTGAGGCCGGTGCCAAGCCATAGATATAGCCAACAAAGGCACAAAGGCACGTGATGTTCGGGGCGGAATGGCATTAAAAATTGAACAAAAAATACAAGTGTAAACAGTGCAAACAGGTCAACAAAAAAAAAACTGCGATCCCAGCTTTGAGGGTTTGGGATTGCATGACTTGTGGTCTCGGTCTCGGCAGTTGTAACGCCTTCTGACTGCCAAGCCCCCTTCATTCTGCTCAAACTGCAGGTAATTGTTGGTAAATTATCTGAGAATCGGGCGTGGCAACTGGGGAATATCTTAGTGCCACATTTTTCACGGGAAATAAAGACGCAAAAAAATAAAAGCAGTGATGTGTGCAAGCATTTGATACGCACCTTTAATGATTCCGGCAGATAGCGTTCTAAAGTTACCAAAATTTCTGGAAGCTCTGATTCATGCACCAAACGAAAGTGTTTACCTTCAGGAATGATTTCCATTTCTGTAACGAAAATAAAGCCAGGTTAACCTTTTGTGTAACGTTCATTGCCTAATGTATGAGCAGGTGTTTTAAAGGTAATGCTTGTATATTTAGAATCCCTATACGCCCATCAAGGTCTCACATTTTGGCCTCTTTCAAGGCCAAAGCTCAACAACAGAAAAGTTGCAAAAGCAAAAGTCACACACTGTTTTCAAGAGAGGGAGCCAAAAGAACCGGGGCACACACGTCCGGATGTTGAGGATGCTCAGCCGCAAATGGTTTGACGGAATATGGATTGGCTTCCCATTTCCATTGGTGGGTAGGGCCCCTAGCTACTCAACCATTCAAATTGGTTGTGCATCGGAAGGACATTGGCAATTGAGCCAAATTAGCAGGAAAGTGCAATGCCAAAACAGGTAATCACCATCAAATTTCGCCCAATAATCAATTTAATTCGATTAACTAAATATTTCATCAATTGCCGTCTACTTTTGATGACATGATTGGTCAAAACTTAAATGATTTTTAATAGTGATTAAGAAAACACAAATTACAATTTCAAAGCGACTCCTTTTAGTTATTTACACGGTCTGAAAGTATTAAGTACAAATTTAATGTCTTAATCTGTCATGCCAAATAGTTTTTTTCGACACACATTTTTTTTTGTGTTATTTCCGAAATATTTGCAACTTAATTTATGTTTTCTTGTTTTTATCGCAAGATTGATGGCCGTAGTGATTGATTGACGAATGCGCCAAATATCATTATCCTTCACTCGTCCATGGCATGTGCCACTCCTTCTCTGCGAAAACCGCCCCCCGCCAAGGGTTACTATGACTATTTATTGCAGTTATTTGTGTGCCCAAAACGAACGTAATAATGGGGCACATGCTGGCTGGAATTAGTATTAGTCATGTTG